TTACAAATGATTGGGCATGGTTTATAATAAAATGTATCTTTATAAACATATTAATTTGTCCTCGTTTACCATTCTTTATGAGGGACAGTATTAATGTTCACTTACTTTTACATTATATTTTATATATTAGGCAGGATTGCACTTTCACTTTTTAAAACAGCCAAGGTCAAGTAAAATCTGATTAGATAAGGTTGACTTTCAACATAATAGAAGAAATATGAAGTAAGTGAATATGATCACACAAAAAGTAAAAATACATAATATTCTGATATTTAGACCAAATTCATAATTTTTCATATAACCCGGCCTTATAAAAATTCCCAATATGAATTAGCATAGGATTTCCTATAGGAATTCCTATAGAATTTCCTTTAAGATTTCCTATAGGATCCTATAGGAATTTTTGTAATGGTCTGAACATAAATTTAAAATTAAAATTATATACTGATATTTAGACTAGATTCATTATTTTTATTCAACCTGCCCTTATAAAAATTCCCTGTATGAATTAGCATAGGATTTCCTATAGGTTCCTATAGAAATTCCTATAAGATTTCCTATAGGATCCTATAGGAATTTTTGTAATGGTCTGAACAAAAATTTTAAAAAATAATTTCAGCTTCAATGATTTGGTACAAAAACATTCCTAATGATAAAATATTTCTCCATAAAAGATTACTTTACAAATGATCATTTTTTTCAAGTTTTCTATAAAAATTAAAGAATTTCTATAGAATCCTATAGAAGACTATAAGATTGTGCATTATAAACAATAAAAGACTTTAATAGTGATATATAATTGACAATTCAACTGATAAAATTGACCTATATCAAATATTTATTGTTTAGAATGATATTTGTTTATAAGATATGCATTTTTCTCAAGATTTTAACTTACAACAATTTCCTATAGGATCCTATAGGAAATCCTATAGGAAAGGATCCTATAGGAAATTTTCGTAAGGGTTGGCGAAAATTTCACGTCTCCCTCCTCAGAATCTCCATAACAGTCGGCCATGCTGCTTTGTTTACATGGCTTGGCCTGATGGGAAGGTGACGTGACCCCCTTTCCGTTGCTTTCATTTGTTTTAAAAGGCTCGAACGGCGGGGCTATTCGTTTTGATATATCGACATAAATACTATCGGGATTATCTATATGTTGGCGCATCTCTCGTTTGCCGAATTTATTGTGGATATTCTTTAACTGTTTATCTTCATGCAACGTGAAAATTGTTTGGCCCTTTGGCCAATTGAAGGAAAGAGCTTTTCTAAACGCCTTTATTCGTATCAGGTGGGGGACTAAAACTCGTGGTCAACTGTCACGCAGTATTTTGAAATAAATCGTAGAAATATACAATTAATGCTGCTCACCCTTGGAAAACAAAAAATAAAACCCCATAACGTCATGCAATAATAGCAAATAATGGTCTAAAATAACTCATACTATGTTTTTATACTTTTATTACGCAATAGTTTGTATCTCACGTGTAAATACGTGTGACATGTACCTTCTAAACACTTTAAGAGGGCCTTTAGGTAGTATATTTACCATAGACAGCGGGGGAGTGTTATCTTAAGCTAGCTCGTGTTTACCGGATTTAACGAGACAGCTTGGAAAATTTGGGCGAAAAGTAATAACCGATATGCATTCTGGACATTCAAAGCAAATTATAGGTTCAACGTACACTTTATCGGCTTCATAAAACACACGCACACTTTTATTAATTAAACGTTTGGATTACTTTTCCTATCTTGAATTTTCATATAAAAAGAAAATACCAAAATGAAAACAAAAAGGACAAAATGAACGTGATATCGTATGCACATGTACATGTATAAGCCACAACTTCAATTGTTTATATCGGTGTGCCAATTCATCTTATGTGAGGCAAATTGAAGATACAAAAAAGTTAACAATTTCACAATTTGACAAAAAACATCATTCATTTCTTTTTCTTTTGTCAGTTTCATGTTCAAACTCTCAGTGGGTTGGGTATCCAAGAGGCAACTCTCGTACGCAGTTTAAACTATCCTGCACCAAACAGACATGGGCATTCGCTCACAAAGTCTGCCAGGATTTAGGGGGAACCCTCGCCGTGGTTGACAGTAAGGACGAGAATAAATTTTTGTCCGATTTGATAAAGAACGTGGGGGAAGCGTGGGTCGGCTACACTGTCAGAAGATCGTCAGTTTCCTGTAAACCAAGGTAACTACAAAAAATTAAGCTGTTTACCAAATTATGTTAATTTAAAGATATTTACAGGCATATATGTATCCTTCACTAAAATGTGAAAAGTTAATACATCTAACAGCGAATATATATCAATCACAGACATAGGGTATTAATACAATGTATCAAGGTAGAGTATATACATTTGTCCTCTTGTTTAGCGACTGCTTAGTGAAAGAAAGATTGTTGTGCTATATCATATCACTTTTTTATATCTTATCACTTTTTAAACTTTATTGTTGCAGTCAAAATAAAGAAAAAAGGTATGTTTATATTATGACGGATCCCTGGGAGACACAGTGTGGCACATGCCCTATCCATATATCTCCTCTGATACCTCAAATATAAATTTAAGCTTTCTCCCCCAACAATAATTAATTATTAATAAAATAGTAAATAAAAGCACGACAAGAGAAAATGGTCAATTTTATACATGCTCCCCCCAACGCCAGCAGCAATATCCCGGATACTAAATTACAAACAGAGACTACGGGGGAAATAATAAACGAAGATCATAATCAATCAATAGAGTCATATAGATAATTTTCTTAACCAATTTGAACATCCCAAAGTACTTTTACGCATACGATGGAGGGTAGGGCAAATTTAGGGTCTGACCTAGAACGCAGTCGAAGAAGGATATTGCCTGAAATATAAATCATATGAAGCATATAGATTGGAACTGAATATTTCTTTAAGCGTGTGTATGATCGTCATCTTGGTTTAAGGCTTGGTCTTTGTCTTTGATTTTCAGTTCTGTAACGGGAACTTACTACAGCTATCTGGCCATTTCTGACGACAGGTGTAAGACTAGTGAGTATTTCAGTACATTTGTATTTGTTTTCCCACTCGGGTCTTTTATCAATCATTTTGGGCCAAGACTCACACAGGTCAATGTTTGTTTTAAAAGATAAATGATAGTTTTTTTTTTTTTCTCAAATAGACCTAATGTACCTTTTCCCCTTGGTAAAAACAGAACTTTGATGAGTTTGTGAGCATTTGGCCGTATAAATACTTTTATTAATTTTCAAGAACATTTTTACACTTATTAACGTGTTTACAAACTGACACAAATGCCTTCGTGTTCTTTAAGAAAGAGGTAGCACATGTGGGTATTTAAAAACAACCGACACTTCAAAAATACGAGATGATGACTGCAATGAATTACGGCGGTTTGTTTGCGAGAAGCGGGCAGGTAAATATGTTTTCCTTTTTTTCCATTCCTTATGGTGTTCAGCATAGTCTTCGTTTTGTTGTGAAAAAGATTTAAATGGAAAGCCTATCAGCCAGAAAAAAGATCAGAACGGACATTGAAATATTCTATATCATCTGCTAGACAGCTAAGACACATAGAGGTTACGTTTGGACGAATGCTGAAAATCAAGGGTGGTAAAATTAGTATAATTAAGTTTGATTGATAATAGGTTATTCTCGGTGTTCTTGAAAACGTCCAAAATTTTGCATAATATATGGATTTTATAATAATAATAATAATAATAATATTATTATCATTATTATTATTATTATTATTAAGACGTAATCTATCAATCCTGGTAGGCTTGACTGCCTCTTTTGTACCAAACCGTTGTTACATTATCTGGTATGTTTTACGGTTGATCTGAAGCCACGCCCTAATTCATAACTGGACATGGGATCGATTGAATATTTTGCCCTTTTCACAGAAAGTGCATCAACTTCAAGACCAACATCAACAGCAACGGTGTGTTCTGCAAACCCCTGTAAAAACGGCGGAAAATGCAAGGAGGCTGGTAATAAAAGCTCTATCTCGGGGTTCGTCTCCGCTTTATTTAAACCGAAGGGGAATTCTAGTTCCGCAGAGAACACTGGTTATAGTTGTGAATGTCCTGCTGGCTTCGGTGGCAGCAACTGTGAAAAAAGACGTAGGTATACATGTAGTTTACGTGTTTTGTGCAAAACGATCCAAAAAGATCACAAATAATTAAAGGTGATAATTTCCTATATAATTTTTCAGAAATTAACGAAAAAAAAATAATAAAAAGGAGGATTAATCGACATCATGATGCAATTAAAATTTTTCATGATATTTCCCACTACCCAGAATGCACGATGCCTTCAAGTCCATCCAAAACCATAACGATTCAGGACCGAAACAACGTAGGAGAAAACATCATCTACAGGTGTTACTTTGGTTACACAGTTGTTGCTGGGGATCTCGAGCGAAGATGTGAAGTTCAAGGATCGTCAACTAAATGGAGTGGGTCGGCACCAACGTGTGTCCGTAACGGTAAATGCGCTGCTTTTGTTTAAAATCGGTAACAGTTTACTTTGATATATTTATTGTGAATGGAACACCCTACATCGCAATAGAGCGTTTTAGATTGGAAACATATTTTATGCATAACAATCAAATCAAATTGATATGATTTGGCTCATGAACGCGCGTGCGTGTGTGTGTGTGTGTGTGTGTGCGTGTGTGTGTGTGTGTGTGTGTATTTTGTCTTGCAAGATTGAAATCCAGGCAGATTTAAAATCCGATTAGGCAAGACTAATTGTGAAAAGATTAATCACGTCCATAGTAAAGCAATATTAGTTATAGAATATTTAGTTTAGTACATCTTTTATTAACTATCTTGCATATGGAGGAATACAGAACAATTTTATTTTTATTACTTTTTCGCCTCACAGAAGCTTTCGTAGGGCTGTATAACAGCCCTGTATGTATTTTGATAAACATTTTGAAAATTCCGAGCTTCCTACATGACGCTATGAATTAAACAGTTTCGGGGGAATGGAAAATTCTGGTACCAACGGTAAGGGAAATGCCTCTCTTACAACACGTCGTGCGTGCTAAGAGATCGTGCGTCCATCGTTGTCGCAGGATGAAAATTAATCGCCGCGGACGTATGTCAGGCCTACCCAACTACCAGACTCGGCACCGAATGATCCCGAATTCACCGGTAGATCGGACCACACTACCCGTTTTCAAGGTGTGAGTCAGTACGCATTTCACAGTATCATACCCCGAACAAATTTTGAGTGGTGATGCAATACTTTTCAACCCCTGAGAATCGTCACTATCACATCGCGTACTAGGCAAGAGCGGTGTCGCGTCTGATAATTATTGTTTCGCTTGGAAAAAGCAAGAGCCAGACTAACTAGTTATTAAGTAAATATGGATACTGACGCCAAGATAATCCATATGCTATATTGTAATCTTACATATCTAATGGTCAATTTCCATCTATTCCAGAGTGCTTTAGATCCCCCTGTCAAAATGACGGTAAATGTACAAACACTGCTGACGGATACAAGTGTTCTTGTCCAACTGGTTTTACTGGAAGAAGATGTGACGTAAACATTAACGATTGTGATCCTAACCCATGCCTTTCAAACGGAAGATGCTTAGACGGTATAAATAAGTACGTTTGCCTTTGTAATGTTGGTTTCACTGGGAAACACTGCCAGACAAACATTAACGAGTGCACATCGAATCCGTGTAAACATGGCACTTGCCGCGACCTTAAGGCTGCATACGCTTGTCATTGTGATCATGGGTTCACCGGTGTCCATTGTGAAACGAATATAAACGAATGCGCATCCCAACCTTGCAAAAATGGCGGCAGATGTGTCGATGGAGTGAATGGATTCCAATGTACCTGTCCAGCTGGGTTCACTGGTATCCATTGTGAAACGAATATAGACGAGTGTTCCTCCCAACCTTGTACAAATGGCGGAAGTTGTGTCGATGAAGTCAATGGATTCAAATGCACTTGTCCAGCTGGGTTCACTGGTGTCCAGTGTGAAACAAATATAGACGGATGTGCCTCCCAGCCTTGTGAAAATGGCGCCTTCTGCGCAGATAAAGTCAATGGATTTGCTTGTGAATGCTTATCGGGATATTCCGGTTTAACTTGCAATGTGAATGTAAATGAATGTTCCTCGAACCCGTGTCTCAAAGGACTTTGCATAGATGCAGTGAATGGATACAAATGCCTCTGTCCGGCTGGTTTCACTGGCAAACGTTGTGAAACAAACATTGATGAGTGCGCCTCTGGTCCTTGCAAAAATGGTGGCGGATGTGTTGACACAGTCAATGGATTCAAATGCACCTGCCCAGCTGGGTTTACCGGTGTCCAGTGTGAAACGAATATAGACGAATGTGCCTCTCAACCTTGCAAAAATGGCGGCTTTTGTACAGATGAAGTCAATAAATTCAAATGTGATTGTGTGGCCGGGTATACGGGTTTGACCTGTGAGACAGACGTAGACGAATGTTCTTCTACTCCTTGTAAGAACGGCGGTAAATGCAATGATGCTGTTAATGGCTACAGTTGTACTTGCCGTGGTGGATGGACCGGTCCGTTATGTGAGGTTGCCATTGATGAGTGCTCATCTATCCCGTGTCAACACAACGGTTTATGTAAAGATGATATCGACGGCTATACGTGTACCTGCCAAAGTGGATATACTGGCAATAACTGCCAATTGGACATAGATGAATGCAAATCGTCGCCTTGTCAAAATGGTGCCACATGCAGAGACGCCGTCAACAAATATAGCTGTGAATGTCTGCCTGGTTATACTGGCTCTGAATGCCAGACCAATGTTGACGAATGTGTGTGTAACCCTTGCAAGAATGGTGCAACATGTATTGATGGTGTAAATGGATTCACGTGTTCATGCAAACCTGGATTTAACGGTCTTACATGCCAAACCAATGTTGATGAATGTGCTTCTAACCCTTGCAAGAATGGCGCAACATGTATTGATGGTGTGAATGGATTCACATGTTCATGCAAACCTGGTTTTACCGACACTATATGTGAAACCAATATAGACGAATGTGCGTCTAACCCTTGCAAGAATGGTGCAACATGTATTGATGGTGTGAATGAATTCACTTGTTCATGCAAACCTGGTTTTACCAACCCTACATGTGAAACCAATATCAACGAATGTGCGTCCAACCCTTGCAAGAATGGTGCAACGTGTATTGATGGTGTGAATGGATTCACATGTAGATGCAAACCTGGATTTGTTGGCCCAACATGCGAAACCAATGTTGACGAATGTGCTTCTAACCCGTGCAATAATGGTGCATCATGTATTGATGGCATAGATGGATTCACATGTTCATGCAAACCTGGATTTGCCGGCCTTATCTGCGAAACTAACGTTGATGAATGCGCATCTAACCCTTGCGTGAATGGTGCAACGTGTATTGATGGTGTAAATGGATACACATGTTCATGTAAACCTGGATTCGCCGGCCTTATCTGCGAAACTAACGTTGATGAATGCATATCTAACCCTTGCAAGAATGGTGCAACATGTATTGATGGTGTGAATGGATTCACATGTATATGCAAACCTGGATTTGCTGGCTTGACATGCCAAACCAATGTTGATGAATGTGCATCTAACCCTTGTAAGAATGGAGCAACCTGTATTGATGGTGTAAATGAATTTACTTGTGCATGCAAACCTGGATTTGCCGACCCTACATGTGAAACCAATATCAACGAATGTGCGTCCAACCCTTGCAAGAATGGTGCAACGTGTATTGATGGTGTGAATGGATTCACATGTAGATGCAAACCTGGATTTGTTGGCCCAACATGCGAAACCAATGTTGACGAATGTGCTTCTAACCCGTGCAATAATGGTGCATCATGTATTGATGGCATAGATGGATTCACATGTTCATGCAAACCTGGATTTGCCGGCCTTATCTGCGAAACTAACGTTGATGAATGCGCATCTAACCCTTGCGTGAATGGAGCAACATGTATTGATGGTGTGAATGGATTTACATGTGGATGCAAACCTGGATTTGTTGGCCCAACATGCAAAACCAATATTGATGAATGTGCGTCAAATCCTTGTAAGAATGGTGCAACATGTTTTGATAGTATAAATGGATTCACATGCTCATGCAAACCAGGTTTTACCGATGCTACATGCGAAACCAATATCGACGAATGCGCATCTGACCCGTGTCAGAACGGAACATCATGTGTAGATGGCGTTAACAGGTATAACTGTGTATGTCCGGATGGGTATAGTGGTTCTTTATGCGAAATCGATAAAAAAGAATGCGCATCCAACCCCTGTCTCAATGGAGGAATGTGTGCGGATGGCGTGAATGGGTATACATGCATGTGTCCCGTAGGGTTTTCAGGCTATAGCTGTGAAACCAACGTTGATGAGTGCAAATCAAACCCTTGCCAAAATGGCGGCAGTTGCAAAGATGCAATCAATGGATACATCTGCACCTGCCCATCGGGATTTACAGGACCAAACTGCGAGACTGATATCTATGAGTGTACCCCTAATCCGTGTAAGAATGGTCTTTGTTTCGATGGTATAAACAGTTTCACTTGTATGTGTGGTTCTGGTTTTGCTGGCCCCACCTGCGAAATCAACATAAACGAATGTGCCTCCAACCCTTGTAAGAACGGCGCAACTTGCACCGACGATATTGACAGGTACAAATGCAATTGTTTAGCGGGATATATTGGTTTGCATTGTGAATCCAATGTCGATGAATGTTCATCTAATCCCTGTGGTAGCGGAGGTACCTGCTTGGATGGTGTAAATGGATACACGTGCACATGTCCAGTTGGTTATACAGGGACTAACTGCCAGACAAACGTCGATGAATGTGCGTCTAACCCCTGTGGTAGCGGGGGAACCTGCTTGGATGGTGTAAACGGATACACGTGCACATGTCCAGTTGGTTATACAGGGACTAACTGCCAGACAAACGTCGATGAATGCTCATCTAATCGCTGTGGCAATGGGGGAACCTGCTTGGATGGTGTAAACGGATACAAGTGTAACTGTCAAGTTGGTTATACAGGGACTCACTGCCAGACAAACGTCGATGAATGTGCATCTAACCCCTGCAGCAAGGGACTATGTCTCGACGGAATCGACAGTTTTACTTGTCTCTGTCAGGCTGGATATGCCGGACCAACCTGCCTGATAGACATTGATGAATGTTCCTCCAACCCGTGCTTAAACGATGGTACTTGTGTGGATAAAGTGGACGAATACACGTGTATTTGTCCTGCTGGTTACAGTGGAGACACGTGTGGAGTGTTACTAACTACCAGTGCCAGTGCCACCACGATTCTGCCCACCACGACGGTTACAAAGACGACAAAAGGTGAGTATATATATATATATATGCATTGGCTAAAGGAGTATACGTACATCTTCAAATTGGAGATAATCATTTGTCTAGAATGGATTAAGATTACGATTTACCTACTACCAAGTAGTTCTACCTTTGAAAAGATAATGGAACTGGAAATTAACTGAAAGTGAATACTTTAATTCATCAAGTTAAATTATACTGCGATAATGAGAAAAATAAAACTAAAATCTGACGTTGAAATGGAGATCAAGACGTTTCGACCTTATGGCAGGGTTTTCTACACAGTGAAGGGAAGAACGTCACCACGCGTCATTGGAAACAACTCAAAATGAGTTGACCCGGGACGTTAAGGTCTCCGTTTCAATTAGTATTAGATTAAACTATTTTCTCATCATCTCTATTGTAATGAGCTAGTATATATAAATAATTAAACATTTGGCATCACGTGTATTTCTAATGGTTTCAAGATCCTTGCCATCCGAACCCATGCTTAGAAAAAGAACCAGGACAACCAATGATGTGCCAACCTTTTAACGGGGGCTATGGATGTTTTCCACCCAATGGTGAGTGCTAGAAAACAACATGGGGACTGAAGATGCTTTTGAAGCTTATAAAGCTCATGTCAGTCTAAGGAATTTATCAGTATCGCACTGATAAATAGTTTATATTGGCATTATCAGACAGTATATTTACCATAGGCATGGGGGACATGATAGTGCTGTTCATAGCAGCCATGATTCAATACATCCACTACGTTTGGCCCGAGACTGGGAATGAAGGCTAGGTATACCATAAGGTAATTTAAATTTGATTAATAATAGGTGATAAAAAAATCTTCTTGAAAATACCACAAAATTAGCATATCTGAGTCACAAAAAAGGATATACAGGGTTACCACTTAATAT